GTATTACCCTGAAAAGAAACCCCGTACCATTTGTAGTTACTCCTGATTTTCCTTGAACTTCCAGCCAGAAGCAACTAATGTATTTTCTACCCCTGTGAAATGACTTATACTGGACAGTTAGAGAAGTAGAATTATACAGTGTGTGCTCTTTTGTGATACCTGTTTTAACTGAGGGTGATGTTTTCAGAGTTCCTCACGCAGCACGTGTCAGTGTTTCTTTCGGTGCTTGAATAGTATCCTGTGTGGATATATCACGGTCTGTTCTCCATTCCCCCCTCAGTGGGCCTCTGAGTTGTTTCCGCTTTTTGGCTCTTATGTTAATGCTGCTGCAGACATTCGAGCGAGCAGTTTTCACTTCTTTCGAGTAGATACTTAGGTGGGGAATTGCTGGGTCTTATGATGACTCTAGGTTTAACCTTTCGAGGAGCCGCCAGACTCTTTTCCGAAGTGGCTGCTCCCGTGCTATTCACCGTGGCCGTCCTGGGGGTGCGAAGCAGTGTCTCGTTGTAGTTCTGAGTTGTATTTCCCTGATGGCTCCTGGGGCTGAGCAGCTTTTCTTGTATTTATTGACCGTTTGTGTGTCTTCTTTGGGGAAATACTCAGATAGTTTGCCCATTTTTTAATTAAGTTATTTGTCTTTTTACTGTTGAGTTGTAAGAGTTCTTTGTATGTTTTAGATGCAAGTGCCTGTCACATATATGATTTGCGAATATATTCCCCATTCTTTAGGTTGTCTCTCCCTTTCTCAGTGATGTCCTTTGAAGGAAACAGTTTGTAATTTTAATGAGGTCCAGCTTCTCTTTGTTGTGGCTGCTGTTTGTGCTTTTGGTGACTTACTGAAGAACTCATTGCTTGGTCCAGGGTCATGCGCATTTACTCCGTGAATTTTCTGAGATCGCCACAGTTTCAGTGCCCCCGGTGGGTCCTGGGTTTGTTCTAAGTTACTGTTTGGGTAAAACGGCGTGAGCGAGGGGTCCACGTTCATGCTTCTGAGGGGGAGTGAGTCCGTTCCTTCCCTCTTCGCCACTGGTGGTCAGGAAGACCCTTCCTCCCTCTCGAGCCGTGGAACGTGTTTGTCATATCCTTGTATTTCTTTTGCTGAGGTGTCTGCATGTTTCCCCCACACATGTTGCAGTGGCGTAGTGGTGCTTTTTGTTTTCTGTTGTTTTTTTCCTCTTAAGAGCTCTTTATATGATAATAAATGCCATAGTCTTCCTGGAAAACAGACATTTCAGGACCTTAAAAAATGGTCCTATCGGGGCACCTGGGTGGCTCAGTTAGTTAAGTGTCTGCCTTCAGCTTCGATCATCATCTATCATCTCAGGGTCCTGGGTTGGAGCTCTAGCCCAGCAGGGAGCCCGCTTTTCTCTCTGCCCCTCCCCCCACTCCTGCTTGCACTCTCTCGCACACATGTGCTGTCTCTCTCTCTCTGAAATAAATAAAATCCTTTTTAAAAATGGTCCTGTTGGGGCGCCCAGGTGGCTCAGTCATTAAGTATCTGCCTTCGGCTCAGGTCATGATCCCAGGGGTCCTGGGATGGAGCCCCACATCAGTCCACCTGCTCAGCGGGGAGCCTGCTTCTCCCTTTTCCACTCCCTCTGCTTGTGTTCTCTCCCTTGCTGTCTGTCTGTCTGTCTGTCTGTCTGTCTCTCTCTGTCAAATAAATCTAAAAAAAATTTTTTTTTGGCCCTCTCGTTTGACTGTTTTACTTCTCAAAAACAACCATTTTTTCTTCGGGTTTTTTTTGCTTTTTAAATTTTACTCATTATGTTAGGTTTTCTTACCTTCATTCTAAAAATAGGGTTTTTTTTTTAGTACTTTAATCAACTTTAATCTATGTTTGTTCACTTTAATTCATCTGGAATTTATATTTAAGGTGACATAGGAGTCACATATTGCCACTACCACCACCCTCCAATTTGAGATACCATCTTACGATACACTAATTTCATATACACATGGGTCTTTCTCCAGACTTACAAATAAAGAAATCTATAGCTTTATAGTTTTGGTATCTGACAAAATAGGTTCCCCCATTATTTTTTACTATTTTTTGGAATTTTCTTGGCTGTTGAATAAAATGTATACATTTCTTCTAGGCAGATTTAAAAAATAGCAGGGATTGTTTTGTTTAAAGGAAGGTTCTTGTCTGAGCATTCCCCCCCCCCCCCATTCTCAGCCCACCCGGGCAGCGAGCATGAGCAGGGACGTTGGTGGCATCTGAAGGCTGTTTCTGGTGGCGTTCGGGACACTCGCAGCCCTTGCAGCTCCCCCGTCTCCTCAGATAATCAGTCTGAGAGTGGAGGCACTTGACTCGTATTTGTCAGCACCTTGCTAAGTGGACTGGCCCCGTACAAGTCTCCAGAGTCATCGGGAGGCCAGACACAGGCACCTGAGGTGTGTCTTCTGTTCTGTTTTGCCCGAGACACGTGTCCACGATGTGTAGAGCTCATTGAGCATCTGCTGATGAACGTGTGCCTTAGACTTCGCCGCTGTGCTCTTTTGACATGTTGAGCTTTCAAAATATGGTAACTGTAGCTGAAGAAACGCTATTAAGAACATCCCAAATGAGAATCAATGTGTTAATTTTTAGTAACCTAAAGGCAGTCTATTTATAATTCAATTGTAAGTTTAGGCGTTTCACCCGACTTTAATACGATTTATATTTTTGTATGTAGCATTTCTGTATTTTAGGAACTAGGACAACTGGCATGGTCTCTTCAACAAGTCAGCATCATGAGAAAATAAAGGGGGAGGGAAGCAATAGATGAACCTTAAAAACAACCATCAAGTGTGGGCTGTGGGCCTTAATTGGATCCTGTTTCTGCAAACCAACTCTAAAAGACACTTTTTGGACAACTAGAGAAGTTGCATATGGACTAAGGTTTTTTTTTTTTTTTCTTCTAAAGATTTTATTTATTATTTATTTGTCAGACAGAGATCACAAGTAGGCAGAGAGGCAGGCAGAGAGAGAGGGGGAAGCAGGCTCCCGCTGAGCAGAGAGCCCGATGTGGGGCTTGATCCCAGGACCCTGGGATCATGACCTGAGCTGAAGGCAGAGGCCTTAACCCACTGAGCCACCCAGGTGCCCCGCATATGGACTAAGTATTAATGAATATTAAGAAATTATTGGTCACTTTGTTAGGTGTGATAATGGTAAGCTTTCTTATCTGCTTTTCTGTATATTTGATATTTTTGCAAATGCAACAGAGAGAAGCCTGAGCAAGGGTCCTCCTCCATTTCTCCATTCCTATTGATTTCTGATTGGACTTTCTATCTGTGGGAATTGTCCAATTGAGAAGGACACTTTGAATGTCGGGGTGAATGCTGCTGGAGGCGTAGTCAGGCTGCTTGTGTAAGCTGTATTTTAAGTTGCAAGGAAAGGGGGCAGGGAGTAGAGTTCCATGTTCAGCAGTGGGAGATTGGGTAAATGAATGAATAGCCATATGCTCATTACAGATCCCGCTGTCATACTGTATGAAACAACTTAATGATACGGGACAGAGCCTGGAGTAAATACCAAGTCGTGTGTGTGTGTGAGTGAGGGAGAGAGAGAAGACTATTGGTTATGGTTCGTACCTAGGCGTGGACGCAGAAGAAAAGACTGCAAGAAGAAGAACTTGTCCACACTTTCAGAGTGGACTTCTGGATGTTGGGATTTCAAGTGTTAATCATTTCCTTCATAGTTCTGTTGCTTTTCAGATTTTCTGCAGTGTGCATATGGTGTTTTTACACTGGGGAAAAATTAGCCTGAGGAAGGAGAGTTCTCAATCACGCTAGGATTCGGTGCTTCTCTGGCCGGCGTGCTCTGCCTCGCAGCTAGGACTTCGCTTTTGCGCCGGACCCCAGTTAAGCTTCCAGGAGTTGTGGTCCTTGCGGCTTTTCTACGTACTTACTTTCTGAGTTCTCATAAAGAAAAAAACAAAACAAAACTCTTTTAACGTTTTAAAAATGAGTTTGCGTTCATTAAGAAATGTTTGTGTGGTTTTTCCCTCCTAATGGCGGGGAGATGGCTTTGCGGCTTCACATGAAAAGTCTGAGAGGTGACAGACTCCGGGGGAGGCGGGGGTGCTGGGAGCCCGGAGCTGTGGGGTCGGGCCAGAGAGGAGGTTAGAGAGCCCGGCGCCGCGGACTGTCTTGTTGCCCAGTAGCAACATCGCAGTCCCCTCACTCCCTGAGTTTCTGGTGAGTTTTCTGAAGGATGTCGGCCGTCTATACAGAGTTAAGACAACTCCACAGGTCCCTTTCCCGTTCTCTGCGGTCGGGAGGTGCGGTCGGCCTTGCTTGTTAGTTTAAAAGGATGAAAGCAATTAAACACTTTTTCTGAACCTTAGCAGATCATCAAGTATTTTTTGAAAAACTTGTCAGATATCCGAGCTGACATTTTAATAGAAAGCAAAGCATTTCCTGAGCATGAGCAGCTGTGCAGAAGGGTCTTTAAGGCTGTGTGTCCTGTTATCCTCTGAGGAGAGGTCAGGAGCGAAGCAAGCAGTGTCCTGGCCACAAGGTAGTGAGACCCACTCTCTGCGGGGCTGTGGTTCTTCTGATGTGCTGGGGGTATGCAGTGGCTTGTGACCGGCCAGGCCTCCACAGTCTTTCTCATCAGGTTGAACTCTGGAGGAAATTGCCAGCGTGTGGCAGTGTGTGCCTCACGGAAACAAGAGTTCTGTTTGGTTCAAGCTCAGACAGCCTACAGCCCCTCCTGCACTTGTGTATATCATAGAAGAAGCTGGGTTTGGTTATGATAGTTCAAGAATAAGCGTCATTTTCTTGCGCCGAGATCCTCATGCACAAGTGAATTTTAATCAGCTTTCTGAGTTGGTTTATTTCTGTGCTTCTGGATCTTCCTTAAAATTGCTGGTGAATTAAAGAGAACCATACCAGCTGCCTTCTCTCTGTGGCCAGTATTACCCATCAGCTCTAACGTTAGCTTGAGAAATAATGAATGCGCATTAGACCTTTGAAAGCTTATTAAAATGTTTTAATTTGTTTTATTTTAGTCTCAGATGCAGACTTCAGTGGGAATTGTCCCCACACAGGCGATTGCGGCGGGCCCCACTGCGGACCCTGAGAAGCGCAAGCTCATACAGCAGCAGCTGGTTCTCCTGCTTCACGCCCACAAGTGTCAGAGACGAGAGCAAGCGAATGGAGAGGTCCGGGCCTGCTCTCTCCCACACTGTCGAACCATGAAAAATGTTTTGAATCACATGACGCATTGTCAGGCTGGGAAAGCCTGTCAAGGTAAGTGCCGTTTTCTGAAATCCTGGTGGCGTAGCTTAGGATGAAATGTGTCTTCAGTATTCTTCGGGCGCTCTCCTGTTAGTAAGGTTCCTGCAGCCTCCATCTGCACACACCAGCCAGGCACAGGCCACTGGTTTGCTCGCCTGCTCAGGAAAACGGTGGTTTGGTTTCCTAATATTCTGCGAGCTTCTGCTGGATGAGGCCGGGCCCTGCCTTGGTTCTCTTCCTCCTTCCTCTGTCACAGAAGACATTTGTCACTTGTTGAGCACTGTCTTACCATAAATGTCTAGAGCCTGGTTTTCTTTCGGGGAGGATGGCCCAGGCGCGTGTGCGCGCCCCTCCCCAAACCTAGCGCATCTGTCTTGCAGCTGTTTCCTGTGTTCCGACTGCCGGGCCCCTGCCTTGCTCCTCTGCCCTTTCCTCTTGAGGCCGATCAGGATACCAGCGACGTTGTCCTAGGCCACGATCCGTGGCACGGGGAGCCATGTTCACCGTATCATCCCTGCCACCTCCTTCCTTCTCCTTGAGAAGGGGGTGAATCAGGCATGTCTTGTGCTCCCTTTCTCCCGTCTTTTCTCGCGGACCCCTCAAGTCTGCCGAAGAGAGCGTTTCTTACTAACGGCTGTACTTCCTTTCATCTTCGTCCTCCTCCTCTCTCTTCTTGCTTGTGCTCCTGGACCTTTGGGAGACTCTCTCTCCTTTTGTGACCTTTGTGAGTCCCCAGCATAACCGTGATCCTGATGGAAAAGCGGAGGAGGGTCATGCTAGACCTTTAGAAAGGAGTCACAGCGCCTCGGTGCGGAGTGAGAATGAAGACTCAGAGTAACCGCTAGGCTCAGTCACCCTCTCACGTACTTAAGAAAAGTGCCCGGCGTCCCCTTTAGAATCTCCCCAGACTTCTCATTTGCTTCTCTGTATGTATTTCTCGAACTTTAGTGTTGAGCTGGTTTCATCCTTGAACATAATGTAGAATTTTTATTTTCCGTAGTGACACGACATAATTTGTCCTAACTCTCATTCCAGTTGTTCAGTATTTCCAGTCAGATAGTTTTCATTCTGTTTTGTTTTTGTTTTGTGGGCCGAACCTTAATCACCATCATCCATGACATTGCCTCTGTGGGAAATTTGTGTTTCGAATTCTCACCAGTCGACTTACAAACGTTTTGGAAAATACCCTGTTTGTAAGTTGAGGACTGCCTGTACTGTGTTATGGTTACACGTGTTACCATTTTCTTATGGAATCTGGCATTATAATTTAGGTGTAATTGAAAGTGTGACGATCTGGATAGAAAAATAACATCTCGTTGTTTTTCTGGTCATAGTTGCCCATTGTGCATCTTCACGACAAATCATCTCTCATTGGAAGAACTGCACACGACATGACTGTCCTGTTTGCCTCCCTTTGAAAAATGCCAGTGACAAGCGAAACCAACAAAGTAAGTGAGCATTGGGGGTAGAGAAGCTCGGAGGTGAGAACAGCTACTTGGAAAGAGAGTGCGGGAGAGGAGGTAGGCAGCAGGGCAGAAGTGACGAGTACAAAGTCTAGCAGCGAGCGGACACACGGAGGTGGAGCTGCCCCGCGACACCGGGGGAAAGCGGAGCTTAGCAGGAGACGGATTCTCAGTGTGCACAGGGCCACTTGGGGATCTCGTCCCCAACCCCTGCACACACACACACCACAGTTGGCAGCAGTGGAGCAGAACAAAGGAGGAGGGTCGCTGTGACCGCAGAGCGGACGTGACGAGGCTTCCTATGTCTGGACAGACACTCAGTATCTGAGGGTTTGAATGTCACGTCACTATAATGGCAGTGACTTCTGAGGGGAGGGGGAAAGAGAGGGGACACTTACTTCGGAATTGAAATGCCTTATCCTAAAGTAAGTTTGGAGAGGGCTGCGCAGTGGAAGAGTCAGGCAGGCAGGGTCAGCATGAAATGCCACATGTAGAAACTTGGGAGGTTTGCCCTCCGTGCAGAGGCAGTTCCCAGACCTGTTTTCGTGGCTAACAATTTATTCGGCACAGATTGAGAGTCTCTACCCCAGGACTGGCCGCATCCTGACCATTCCCATCGTTCCGTTGTCTTTCCAGCCATCGTGTAGCCCTTAGCTGGTCGGCGGAGCTGAGGCCCCTGCTCGGGAGACCTGAACGTGGCTCCCTGGGGGGGCGGGATCCCTGCCCTCTGCGGGCATCAGAGCAGCGAAGGCATGAGCATCTCTTCTAGTTTTCGGTCCTTTCCTGTCACTTCAGAGGTTAAATTGTGGTCTTTGGGTGTGTCCCTCAGTTTGGACAGCTGGGACATGCCCTCCAGTGTCCTGTTGTCCCTCGGGCTGGAGCCGCTCCCCGCGGCCTCCAGCCCCACGCAGTCTTGCTCATCTTCCTCCATCTTGTCGGTTCCATCTCGTTCGTGGTTGCGTGTTCATCGCTCTCATCCTTCTTGACCATCTGCCTCAAGACCCCGCAGCTGCCTGGAGAGCCTGTGCGGCGTCTCTCTGGGCGTTTCCTGGGGGCCCAGGACACAGCGGGAAGCACGCTGTTCCTCTGGGTGCTGCGGGTGCCGCTCCAGTGACGCTGGGGCGTCCCTCCTGAGTGGGTGGCCGATTGGGGGCTGTCATCTTCCCTCCCTGCAGGACTCACACTAAGTCTCCTTTAAAAAGGCACTTCCCCAGATGAGTTAAATTTTTCTTGAACCACAATTGGAATTAATACTCCGTTTTCCAGGCCCTCTCTTACATGAAGTGAAGTTCTAGGAATGTAGGTCTCGCAGAACCGTGTATTTGGGATAGTAGTTCTGTTGATAAAGCCTGTTTTTCTTCACAGTGTAAAACTGTTTTTTTTAAACTAGTATATTGTGGTGGTTACATTTTCTTGTGTTTTAGGACACGTTTCAGTAACAGGCTTTTTCAGTGCCAAAATATTCATTCCATGAATAATACGTTAGGATTTCATTCTGAACCTCTCGTTTGGGGGTGTGGCTTTTCTGGGACCTTTTGTTTTTAAGTGTTGCCATGACAATGTTAAACTTCTGTGATTTCTCTTTTTAAGAAACAGTTATGTGGTTTTTGTTTTTAAAAAGAGAAGAAATACATGTGGGTTTGCTTTGTGTGTGTGTGTGTGTGTGTGTGTGTGTTTTCAACATCCTTGTAACTGCTGCGTGTTGTGACAGTTGAGCTGGTGCGTGCTCTGAAGTGGTAAGCCACCGTGTTTCCACCAGTCATAATGTAAGGTGTCACCAGACTGATTTTATAATGTAGTCACCAGGAATACTTCGATTAACTTTATACGAGGTTCTGGTAACTTTTTTGTAAAAGAAATGAAAGTGCTTACGTAAGTAATGGTTAAATGCCCCTCAAACGGGGTTTCGGGCCTGAGTGTACTCTTCTGGCTCTCTCTAGCACTGTGGTTTTGGGAGGGCAGAGGTTGATGTGGTGAGTGAGAAAGTTCTAGCAGCGTGCTTCCTCCTCACCTGAAGCCGACTGTGCTGGTGGTGTGCGCGCACTGGGAGGTTAGGCAGCAGGGAGGAAGTGTGGGTCCAGCCCTCCCGACAGCTTCAAGTCAAGGGCTAGAGTGAGAGTACATACAGTGTGGTGATGTGACAGTCGTGCCGCAGGAAGGAGGGGAGGACCCGCGTTCCCTGGAGGTGGGCTTGATGGAGCCCACTTCCGTTACAGTAACGATGGGAGGACACTCCAGACAGCGCAGACAGTGTGCGCACGAGCAGCACGGGCTCAGAAGTTCCTGCACAGGAGAGGGGATCCGAGGAGAGAGGGAGTGTTTGTGGCCAGAGGTTGGGGCCCCTGGGGGCTGCCGGGAGACTGGCCGTGCCTGCCAAGGCTCTACTCTGCCGGCAGGCTCCCTGCAGATGCTCTCCCACTGCACTGCCTCACTTGCTCCGTGGTTGTCTCTGCTGACAGGACCTGCCTGCATCATCGAAGCCACACCGTTGGTTACCTTCCTGGCCTATGTTGAGATTTTGTTTGATTTTTCTCTGAGTTGTTTTCTTGAGACTGGGTTGTCACTGATCTTGAGCTGCCCCTCTCTTACAGAGATAATTGGATTTTATTGACTAGTTAGGAGTTTTCAAGGTATATACCTAATGTCAGTTCTGGCATCTGACTTCCAGTAAATTCCAGTGCACAGAGCTGTGTGGACACAAGACCGAATTCCCTATGTGAATTCCTGTTGCCTCCTCAGTGGGGTTCTTGCTCCTCAAAGTATAGCCCTCAGACCAGGCTGCACAGGCAAAAATGGAGAAACTGCAGCCCCATCCCAGACCTCCTCTATCAGAATCCGCATTTTAACAGGGTCCTAGGTGATCGGTATGCACAGTAAGAGCTGAGATGTGCAGCCCTGGATGCCTTGAAGGGCTGGGTGTCTATCCCAAAGCTCTTGAGAAGTTTCGAGTCACTCTGGGGAAATCATGGGTTTCCCAGCTCAGAATCCCATAAGGATCGTCAAAATCGGTGCTGTAGGACCAGCCTCTTCCCAGACCAAACCCAGTCACTGCCACAGCCACCTTAGATGCGTGCTGAGTCCCGCCACAGCTTGACGGTGAGGAGTGTCAGAGTCAGCAGTCCTCTGGTACGGCGCTTGAATACCTCCAGCGGCTTGACCCTCACTACCTGGTCTGGCTCTTTATTCTGGTTTTAAGCCACCGTGATTGTGAAGTGCCTTCCTTCATGACTTGAGTCCATATCTGCCTCCTTAAAGTTTCTGCTCATACAGCAGCCTGCCCCGGGGCGCAGTAAGTGGTGTTGAACAGGCCCTTGTTCCACCGGAGAGCCCTTCAGAGACTCTCAGATGCCTCTTTGACGGCCTGTGCCTGGGATGGGGAGCAGAGGTTGCAGGGGAACTTGAATGGCTGTAGGGTTAGAGCTGTAGGCTCGTCTGCCCCTAACTTAAGTACCCAGCAGTCAGTTGTGATGTATTTCATCAGAGTAGCTTTCGCCTTGCTCTTCTGGGTCCCACAGTGTTCCTCCTCCTGAGTCGTTTGGCTTCTGCAGAAGACACTGTTGCACGCCTGTGTGTTCTTGCTCGGTGGTGGCTGTGCTAAAGGTCCGGCCCTGGGGCTTAGGTGTTCCCCTTTCTTGTCCTGCCCTATGCCACGCACAGGAAGATGCTGGAGGGTCAACAGGCCGGCTCTGTCAGTAGAACATGTGACTCTTAAAACAGGGTCTGTGAGTTCGAGCCTCACGCTGGGTGTAGAGATTGCTTGTTGAAAAAAAGGGAGGGAAGATGCTGGAGAGGAAGGCCGTCCTGGTGCACGCGGCACGTGGGGGCCGTTCTGCAGAGACGTCTGCGGGTCTGAGTTGCATCAGGGCTTTTTCAGTAGAATCTGAGCGGTTCCTGGTTAGTGGCTGCTCTGCCCGCTTCATGGTAAGTCTCTGACTGTGCGGACAGAGCTTTGAGATTTAGTTTGTCCATTTTCATTGGATTTTCACATCGACTCCAGTTTTACTGCGGACGACTGGGGGCTTGAATGTTCGCAGTGTGACTGGATGTGGGACCTGCTCGTGCAGCCGTCTCCGTTGTCTCGGAGGAAGGGCATGAAAAGTGGCAGCGGGTCCTGAGATGGCCACCTAGATACCTTCTTTCTTTAAATTCCTCTCCACAGTTCATGACCGTATGTCGCAAATATACTCTGGGTTTGTTATTTCTTACACCAGTAGGTGATGGAAAAATAAACCATCCTCCCATTATTACTTTCTTTTTAACATCAGAATGTTGTGTTTTGTTTTGTTTTTAAAAGTATGCTCCATGTCCAGTGTGGAGCCCAGCTCAAGGGTTGAACTCACGACCCTGAGATCCAGACCTGAGCTGAGATCAGGAATCTGATGCTCAAACAACTGAGCTACCCAGGCGCCCCTAACATCAGAGTTCTTTTAGAAAATCTGGCCTGGGGTGCCTGGGTGGCTCAGTTGGTTTTGCGTCTGCCTTTGGCTGGGGTCATGATCCCGGCCGGGGTCCTGGGATCAAGCTACATGTCGGGGCTCCCTGCTCAGGAGGGAGCCTACTTCTCCCTCTCTCTCTATTGCTCCCCCTGCTGTGCTCTCTCTCCCTCCCCTTTGTTAAATAAATAAATTTAAATAAATTTTTAAAAAAATTTTTTTAAAAAGAAAAGAAAACCTGACCTGTCAGTTTTAGGAGTACGGGGGCACATGTTGAAAGTTTGGGGCGGGGAGGGGGTATTAACTATTAGAGAAAATACTTTCAAAGAAATCATACATGATTTGAGCTACACACTTGTCATAAAGTGTACTTTGGGAATTGCTTTTCATTTATAATAATGAGGTGCTTGGTGTGTGTAATTGTGTCTAATGAACGTTAATGAGTTTGAGATCTGAATATCCTTATTAGAAAAGTTAATAGTATGGAATGTGTAATTACCAAGATTTTTTTTTACACATTTAACTTTAATTAAAATACTCTGATAAGCACGTGAGTTGTTTATGTTATAGTTGCATGGATGAATGTGAGAGTATTACCGTTAGATGCAATTGTCAGAATATGAAAAGAAAGCTTTGTGATAGTGCTTAATGTATCAAAGATCGTGTGTTATAGTATCAGTTCTATAAGCTTCTGTTTCTACATGGCTCTACGGTTTGGGGAAGTCGGAAAGAAGGGAAATCTTAAGAATAAGAACAAATGATAGGACATAAAACTTCTGCCTTATGTAAGTGCTCACCAAATGAGGACATTTGGATGGTTGGACAGAGGGATGGATTGAAGTTGAAGTGACTAAGGAGATGCAAATTCGTGGTCATCTCTGTTAACTTTGAAGTCCTTGGGAATCTTTATGTTGCTACAGATTTTCCTTTGGTCTTTGGGATTGGCCTCGGCAGGTGGTGGAGTACCGGTAGGGAGTGCCCTGCGCGCCGGCGGTAGGCCGGGTAGTGGAGGCTGAGGATGGCTGCGCGACGCAGTACCAGTGCCTAAACCTCAGTGGTACTGAGGTGACGCCTGGATAAATGAAAATCCATGCGGAATCGCCAGACCTCCTTCCATCCATTAATTTTAGCTAGATCAGTCCTTCAAGTACAGTATTTCTTGAGCAGCTTTCAGTAGCCAGACAGCTTAGCATGGGGCCTTCCTGCGGAGAAAACCGTAGGAAAGAAAGGTTTGGTCTTAATGCCATTGTACATAGAAGTTTCAAGGAATTGGAATTTTGTCGTTAAAAAGATCATGTCCTCGGTTTATAAATAAGTAACAAAACTGATCACCTGGGTTTCACTGCTGCGCCTTCTTTCATCCTCTGTCCCCATGCGGGTGAGCAGTGAAGGACCTCAGGGAAAGTGGCAGCCAAAGGAGGCCCCCTTAGTTCCTGTCAGTGATGGGAAATGACCCCACCCAAAATCAAAACACTTTGTGTTGTCACTTGTCGGCCCCTTCCCTGAAGCAGACTTCTGAGTCTCTAGATTTCATACATAATTTTCATTAATGATCTCTGATTTTGTGATGTGTTGCTTTGGAAGATCAAAGCTTGAATTTCCTTCAGGTTTTTGCTCCTCAGGCGCTGCTGTGCAGAACAGGTGACTAGCCCAGGTCCCTTTTCCCTGCGTAGTTCCGCTCTCAGTAGCCTTGTTCGGTTGCCTCATGACATACTCAGATAGTCTGTTGATGAAATTGTACTTGCTTCTCAGGAGCTTGTCAGTCGTTTATGGGCTTCTTCCTTTCACTGACCTTTCTCGTTTGTCTGTTTGTTGTTATAGCCATCCTGGGGTCTCCAGCTAGTGGGATTCAGAACACGATTGGTTCTGTTGGCACAGGCCAGCAGAACGCCGCATCTTTAAGTAACCCAAATCCCATAGACCCCAGCTCCATGCAGCGCGCGTACGCTGCTCTCGGACTCCCCTACCTGAACCAGCCCCAGACGCAGCTGCAGCCTCAGGTTCCCGGCCAGCAACCAGCACAGCCTCAAAGTCACCAGCAGATGAGGACTCTCAACCCCCTGGGTAGGTGGAGGAGGGCCTGGGAACTTGTGTGTCCAGTGCAGCGTTGGGGATGACATGCCCTTCTGGAACCCCAGGCTGTTTACTGTTACTGTTGTTACTTTAAATTCAGATTAACAGACGTATAAATTATGATGATATCTTTTTCAAGCACTTGAAATAAAGAACTTTCAGGAAAAGGCTACAGTGCCCGTGCAAGGGAGATGTTACGGGTTTGAGAAAAAAGGAACCAACATGGTACCACTCTGCCGCTGCTGTCTGCACCGGGTTCATACGGGGCATTTCACGAGGCTCAGTTCGCAGAATGTCCCAAGCTAGAATTATGACCGTCCCACTTAGAAATCACTGATCTGGTGGAGAACTCGTAGGTGGCCCGCCAGGTCCTGGTCACAGGCCAGCCCACAGCTGGAGGTGAGCAGCCCAGGCAGCAGCGGCCTGACAGGAGTCTCAGCCGATGTCTCCTGCCTCAGCCTCGTCCCTGCTATCCCCGCAGCTCGTCAGTAGCCAGGGTTTGCTCATTCACTTGCGCATCTCCACTGTTTCTGCCATCTCTGCATATTGTGTTTTTTTAAACACTTTGCTTTAAGTTGACGCAGTGCTCTTAAAGTGAGCCGAGCAGTTACATCAGTCCAGTGAAGTCAAGATTGTTGTCCTAGTTCGGTTGTTTTCCTGATAAAGTACATATTTTAATCTTAAAAATGACTCTTAAGATTGACCAGTTAAAAACATCTCATTTATTGCTTTTTGGACAAAACTGCCCTCATGTATATCTAACTTCTACTGGCCTTGCGACTGGGTCAGAGCCCTCAGACCTGAGTTGTAAGCGGACGCTTACTCCTGTTTGAGGGTATAATTTGGGACGAGACTGTTAACCTCTCTTAGTCTCAGCTTTTTCTTACTTTAAGATGAGTACCCTACCCCTGAAACAAAGAGTACATTGTATGTTAATCTAAAAAATTTTTTTTAATTTGAAAAATTAAAATTAAAAAGTCAATACTCTGCACGGATGTTTTCACTTGCATGGGATTTCTGTGATCTCATTTTCTGAGATGAAAAGGAAAGTTGACTCAAATCTGCATGACACATCAGTATAGTTGTTGAGGGCACCATATTAATGAAACCGGAACAAGAGTGTGCAGCTTGCCAGTGGATCATTCTGTCAGTTTTTGCACAGCCACGGTCCATTTACGATACCAGCAGCCTCCACAGAAATGCCTGTGGTTGTGGTTACAGAATGCAGTGAGGAGTCTGCAGCTCAGTGGTACACACTGGTGACCTTCAGAACAGGACCGCCTTGCAGAGTCCTGCCACAGCGGCTGTTAGTGACACTCATAAGAATCACTTACTTATGCAGTGACTTGTTAATGTTATTGGACCTCTGAAGTCTATGTTGTAATTTAGGAGTTGGTTGATTTCTTTCTGTCTTTAAAGGAAATAACCCAATGAACATTCCAGCAGGAGGAATAACAACGGATCAGCAGCCACCAAACTTGATTTCAGAATCAGCTCTTCCAACTTCCCTCGGGGCCACAAAGTAAGACCCGTGTTTCAGTCGGCTCCCGTCTGAGTGACGGCGCACGTGAAAGTGGGCTGGGTATCACAGGACTGTGGTAGTTTCTTAAATGTGTGACCGCGAAGGCAATATTGGGGGTGCTTTTTATTGTTGTTGTTGTTGTTATTATTATAACAGCTGTAGGTAATAAATTAAACACGGCTTCGGTTTTGTTGTACATACAGCACTGGGCTGTCCTCGGTTTTTAGAAGCCCAGTGTGGTTGAAAAACCCCTAAACGAAGCCCATCTGCATCGCTTCATTGGTGGAACGAGTGTTCTTGTTCTTCCCCAGCCCCCTGATGAACGATGGCTCGAGCCCTGCAAACATTGGGACCCTCAGCACTATACCGACAGCGGCCCCTCCTTCCAGCACCGGCGTTCGGAAAGGCTGGCACGAACATGTCACTCAGGACCTGCGGAGCCATTTAGTGCATAAACTGTACGTGCCCACCTCGCCTTTATTCACATACAATGAATTCAGTGGCTGACAGCAGTATGACAGCTTTGTGGTGTCCCTGATGTCTGACTGGATTCCTAAGTGGTCCCTGGGTCTCAGCTGACAGTGCCCTAGCAGCTGAAGAGGGTCCCATGCTTTTTCAGGGGGCCACAGCCACTGCTGGCAGGCCTGAGAATCCCAGTTGGCGGGTGTCAGAGTGTCCGTGGCCCTGCCCTGCAGGGGGACATGAATTGTCGCCCATGTCCCAGAGATCAAGGCTCCTAGGGTGGCCAGACTTTCTGTCCTCTGACCTTTGACATGCAACAGGGAGTTGGTGTTAGCTCAGAAGCTTTCCCTCGTTTTGTAACTCAAGATTATAATTGTGGAGGCCCCCGAGAACTGGGGGAATTTGGCCTGGTGAATACAGAGAGCACGATCATGCCACATATATTATATTCACCGACAGGAACTCAGCAGTTACCTTTCTTGAGCTACTTAAGTTAAATTGAAGGGGAAATTAGATCAGCTTAATTCCCTTAGAGTGGGTTTTTTTTTCCTTCATCTTTTTAGTGAAAACTATTTATGATAAATAGTTTAAAAATTAGGAGTTCAAGGGGTACCTGGGTAGCTCAGTCATTCACGTACCCAGCTCTTGATTTCGGTTCAGGTAAAGATCTCAGGGTTGAGGGATCGAGCCCCATACCGGGCTCCATGCTCAGTGCGGAGTCTGCTTGAGGTTCTCTCCCTCTGTTCTGCCCTCTGCTCGCACGCGCGTGCTCACGCACTCTCTCAAATAAACAAGTCTTAAAAAATTAGGAGTTTGAAATCATATTATTCTTGAGATGACCTAACAGTTACCATAAATAGCAAAATATTGGTGTGTTTGACACACAGATAAATTGACAGGTGAGTGTTGTCTCCAGGAAGTGACGTTCGCATACTGGGCGAGAGAGATCGAGCATTTCTCTCAGCAGTATGTTGCCCCCCCATAAGTAGATGGTTTCGTTTCTCTCTCTCCATGTCGTCATGTATAAATTAGCAAGATACTGATGGTGTCTCGACAGTCTGTTGACGGGGTATGTTGTCCTTGCAGCGTCCAAGCCATCTTTCCAACCCCCGACCCAGCAGCCCTGAAGGATCGCCGCATGGAGAACCTGGTGGCTTACGCTAAGAAGGTGGAGGGGGACATGTATGAGTCTGCCAACAGCAGGGTAGGTTGCCGTCCGTGTTCCAGCTGCATGACACCCACAGTCGAAAGAACGGCATCCATCTGGGAATGGGGAAATCCGTTAGTCAGGGAGACTCTCACCTCGAGGACACTGACCAGAGAGACGTCCCAGATAAGACAGCAGATCCCCGCACAACCCTCTTGGTTGACTACAAACGTCCACTACAGTGGTGAACAAGGCATGTAAAATTGTGTTTTATCCATGGATGGACTTTCCAGTGGGAGCTGTTTCTAATGCTGGTACTGCATTACCGGCAGTGTCAACCATCCAGGAAGTGATTCGACTGCGGAATGAATGTTACGTGCATTGAGCGCCCCTTGTCTGATAAGTCCTGTAATGTCACTAGGCATTCAACAAGTTGGGCTTTAGGTTTATTGGTTAGAAGTGCTGCTGGATACTGGGGCGCCAGGCTGGTTCAGTCAGTAGAGCATGGGACTCTTGATCTCCGGGTCATGAGTTCAAGCCCCCTGTTGGGCCAAGAGTGAAACAAAAAACAACAGAACAGAAGGGCTGAATACTGACCTTTGCCAACGTACTTACTGTCAAAGCTCGTTAGTTTGTTAAAATATATAAAACAGATTGGGGTGTTTTTTTTTTTTTTATTTTTACAGCTTTGGCTGCTTAATGTTGAATGTTATTGCTCTTTAGGATGAATACTATCACTTACTGGCAGAAAAAATCTACAAGATACAAAAAGAACTAGAAGAAAAACGGAGGTCGCGTTTGCACAAACAAGGCATCTTGGGTAACCAGCCTGCCCTGCCGGCTCCCGGGGCGCAGCCCCCAGGGATTCCGCAGGCACAGCCTGTGAGGCCTCCAAGTAAGGACTTCACTTCCTTCTGCCAGCCCTCAGTCTCTTGGCTTGTTTTCCCTTTTGGGTTTGGGGTGTATTTCTAAGCCTAGAGAACTGTGCTCTTGAGGAGCACACACTTTGGAAGCTATGTGGTAGTGGCCGTGGCCTTCCGCATCGGCCTGTGTGTGGAGAGGCCTAGGGAGGGTGCGCAGGCATCAGAATGCATGGTGCCTTCGCACCCACTCCCTGGTGTAGTTTGACTTTCAGAAGGTAAAATTCCTTGTTTCCCGCATGAAGGATTATTTTAAATAAGCAGGTTTTTTCTGCCATTGCAGACGGACCCATGCCCCTGCCAGTGAACCGCGTGCAGGTGTCCCAAGGTATTGAACTGTTGTTGTGAATCATGTTTCGATTTAACATTGAACAGCCACAAAGATGATTCGTTGTTCCTTTTCCCTCTGCATTTCTCTATAGCTCCTTGTTAGCCCCCCATGCCTTCTGCTGATGATCGGAATTCAGTTCCACAGACAGTGATAACTCGGTGGTGTTTGGAAGTTAGAAGACAATAGGAAAGCCCCCCCGGGAGATGAGAAGTGGGGTCTAGCCTTTTCTTCCCCTAATGGACAGGAGGGCACATTACTCTCAGGAAGTCTCCTTGAAAAGCCTCGTTGGTGGGTGAAGGAAGCCTGTCCGAAGGCCGCTGAGGGGAGCACTGAGCCGGACTGAACGGGGTTTGTGCTCCTCTCAGGCTGGCGTGTGCTGGCAGCTGGCCTGAGCCACTTTTAAAGGTTCTTTCTCAGGTTGAGATTCTAGGGTGTCTGTGGCTGGAACAGTCATCGGAGTCGGGGAGGTTGGGGGAGGGGCATTTCAAGGCTTTTACAGCTCTTGTCTCATGAGACTTGGGCGGCAGGACCTGTTCACAGGTTGTGAAATGAGGGGCGACGTTATCTAGGAGATTCCAAAGCACAGCCTTGCTGCTGTGTGCAGAGCGGTCCGAGAGGGAAAAAGAGGTCATTTTAAAGGTTGCAGTAGTCTTGGGGTCGTGAGTTTGAGCCCCCATTGGGTGTAGAGATTACTTTCAAAAGGTAAATAAAAAAACTTTTAAAAGCTGTGGTCATCTTATATTGCGTACTAAAGAGACATGGTAGGTAAACTGGTGTTGGGGAGAAACTTCAGGGATGTGTTTTGGTGGACAGACTAGGTAAGAGAGTGAAGGAAACCCAAGAAGTCAGGAAAATGGAGCCTTGAAAACGTAGCTGCGTGCTGCGTGGGGGACGGCGTGGGAGATGGGGCTGATCTGGGCTCCGAGGAGGCCTTTTGAGCAGGGTAGTGAAGGAGGTTCATAGCAGAGCACTCCTGCTGCGCTTACCAGCACATCTCCATCCGCGTGAGAGGGGCTCTTGGTGGTGCTGTTTCTCAGCACCGCCTTTTTCTCTTACATTAAAATCCTCAAGGAGAGGGGGAAGCTTACAGCCTTCCTGGAAAGTCCTCCTGGGCTCATGCAGGCACTGGTTTTTTTAGGGTGACATTTCTAGGTGTCCGTGAAGATAATGCTTTAGGAGATGCATGTTCTCTGAGACCTTTTCACGTCAGTGCCAGTGGTAAGGTGGCACCTGGAGGATTCTGTTAGATTGCCACTGTCCGTTCTAAGACTTGCTTGACCAGCATTGATGTAGAGCTTTACGTGTAGGTGTAGAGTTCACAGAATATGGTGGGAAGTGAGAAGAATGAGACCCCATGGTCTGGAGACATGTAGCAGCCAGTGAGGTGTCTTTCATGGTGTGATAGTCCTGTGGGCCGTGGACACCCCTGGGAAGGGGGAAGTGGCCTTGAAAGGGAGACCTTGCTGGTCTGGAGAGGAGGTGGGATTGAGAATTGCTGACCCTTGGGCACTTCTAAACACTTTACATGGTTGCAAAATTAAAACCGTATTTTGAGTCTTATCGCAGTTTCTAACAATAAATTTAAACCCAGCTGAAGAGCCAGGAGGCCTGGGATGATGGGACAGGCCTTCCAGCAGAAGAGAAGGGAGCCGTGTGCTCTGGCAGGTGTTGGGAGGTTGGCTTAGATGGGTGCCCTGGCCTTAGCCAGCACCTCCTCTGTGGAGGGTAGGAGCGCCTTCGTGGCGCTACCGCGTTCGTTGGTGGTTGACCTGACGTTCTCCCTTCTCTCCTCGTGCTGCCCTGCCTGCACCCGCCAAACCACTCTCACCACCGCCACATCGGTGCCGTTTTTCTGTATTTGAAAAGTGTTACATCACCATCTTTTCTGATTGCTTGGGGTGATTTCTGTTGTGTGTCTTATGTATGTGTTCCAACTTATTTTGCTTAGAGTTTGGAGAGCTGTAGCTCTGTTTTCCTGTGGGTGCTTTTTCTAATGAACCACTGTGGGTACATTTACAGGGATGAATTCATTTACCCCAATGTCCTTGGGGAATGTACAGTTGCCACAAGCTCCCATGGGACCACGTGCAGCATCCCCCATGAACCACTCTGTCCCGATGAACAGCATGGGCTCCGTTCCAGGGGTAAGCGCTTCTGTTTGCCTCAGCTGTGCTGAAAAGGCCTTGCTTGAATAAGGAAAATTCTCTATGCAGTGAAATTGTAGATCAAGATCCTATGGTGGTTGTTTCTCTGGATGTGGTTATGCTTTATTTACCTCATATCTCTCTTCCTTTTTTTTTTTTTTTTTTTTTTTTAGTCTTCATGACTACAAATGAGAATTATGTGATCATTGTTGATATTTATTGGGATGATAAATTCATAGGGACTTGTGACTTCGTGAGAAGACACAAGTCCCGGGGCGCCCGGGTGGCTCAGTCGTCAAACATCTGCCTTCGGCTCTGGTCATGATCCCATGGTCCTGGGATAGAGCCCCGTGTCGGGCTCCCTGCTCAGCAGGAAGCCTGCACCTCCCTCTCCCGCTCTCCCTGCTTGTGTCCCTTCTCTCCCTATCTCTGTCTGTCAAATAAATAAATAAAATCTTCGAAAACAAGACAAAAGACACAAATTCTGAGGTTGGAGTGCGCAACCTCAGATACGTTGCTGAGAGATGCTTGACAGCGGCTCTCGGCTCCTGGTGCTTACTCTCCTAAGGCTGCTTTCTTAACACGTCAGAGAAATCGTGAAAGGTGTATTTTGAACTTTAAAGTATAGCATGCTATTGATTTCTATTCAGAGATGAATTTGAAATGGGCTTCTTGGAGAAGTTGCATGAGAAAGCACGCAAAGTGCCTGGGGGCCAGAAGGGCTTAATGAGAGGCTTTCTCCCCATGGGGAAGGGAGGATTTGGAGTTTGTCTCTCCTAGATTATCTTGAAGACTCCCGCCCTCCGCTCTGATCTCTGGATGCTGCTTGTGTTGTAGATGGCCATCTCTCCTTCCCGGATGCCTCAGCCTCCAAACATGATGGGCACTCACGCCAACAACATTATGGCCCAGGCGCCTGCGCAGAACCAGTTCCTGCCGCAGAACCAGTTCCAGTCCTCCAGTGGGGCAATGAGTGTGAACAGTGTGGGCATGGGGCAGCCGGCGGCCCAGACAGGCGTGCCACAGGTACCGTGCACCCGGGACAGGGCCCCGCTTCCTCCTGACTCAAGCGTGTCTCGTTTCATGGAGAGGAGAATTCCAGAATACACATTTCATTATTATGTATGAGCATCTCTTGACTTTTTACCCCCGTTTTGTTGTGTTATTTTCATCTTCTTTAGAATTACTTTTATTATGTCTGGGTGGACTTCAAACCAAATTGGCATGGATTGTGGTTTTTTGGTTCATGGGCTTTGTGTTTGGTTTTGGGTTTTTTAGTTGTCATCTTCTTGGTTTTTAGTTGTTTTAAATTCACATGTGATCCTGAGAGACCTTGAGTATTAGAGTGAGGACTGGCCCCACGCACTCGGCCGGCCCCTTGGTTGGTGTGTCCTATTGCCTGTCTCTCTGGGCATCCTGTGTGAGGTCGGCTGACTGGATCAGTTGAGGAGTTCTCTTCTTGTCACGTATCTTTTTAATCATTCTGTTTAAAGCTGAAGAGAACCGTCTTCCATTCATTTTAGTGCCTTTTTCACCCTTTGGAGAATTGTTCATTGTCGTGCATGGAACTGCTGCCGTGTACACATGTGCATGTGTTTGGAACAGGCCAGGTCTTACCCTGGAAGACAGTGCTCCTGTCTTCAGTTTTTACACGCAGTAGTGTTGAAAAAGGTCATTGACTACACCAGATTTACTCGCTAAGTATTTATTAATTCTTCATTTCTGTAACATCCCATTGTTCTGGAGCAGCAGACTTGTTCCTGGAAATATTTTCGACTCTGGGGGCCGCAGTCTTTAACTCCTCCACTCCTTGTTTGGAGCGGCACAGGGCGGACCATTCACACATCGGCGGTGGGCGTGGCTGTGTTCCGGCGACACTCCTCCCAGGAGCAGGCAGCTCGCTGGAGTGGGCTGTGGGCATTAGTTCACAGACCCCTGCTCCCGAGCAGTGACTTGGAATCACTTTTTTAAAAAGTCAACATATAATTGCAAAGCGTGTCCCCATTTGGGAATCACTTTGCTGAAACGTTTCAGTGTTTTAGTAACTCATTTCTTGAAAAGAAAAAAAAAAAGAGAGAAATGTCTTTTTCGGTGTTCTAAGCTGTGGGTAGCTGTTTTGGATCACGAAGCCCGTAGGCTGAGTGGGTCTATGTTAGTTTAAGCCAGAGGTTTCAACAGTTCTGCAAATCACAGGATGAGAAACATTCCGTAGCAGTAACTTTACTGGAAAACGCATGTTATTATGTGTACAGCAGGGTGAATTTTTACAAATGGCACATTGCCTTGAAACCAGCAGACCTCACCAAGAAACCACGATGAGATATTCATGCGTTTAATTCTTCGGGTCTGTTGCCATGTTTTCACATGGGGAAATAATTCTAACCTCCTCTGCTCCCTCTGCTAGGGACAGGTGCCTGGTGCTGCTCTTCCTAACCCTCTGAACATGCTTGGGCCCCAAGCCAGCCAGCTGCCCTGCCCGCCAGTGACACAGTCACCGTTGCACCAGACACCACCGCCTGCTTCCACGGCCGCCGGCGTGCCGTCTCTCCAGCACCCAACGGCGCCTGGAATGACTCCTCCCCAGCCAGCAGCTCCCACCCAGCCGTCGACTCCCGTGTCGTCTTCCGGGCAGACTCCCACCCCGACTCCCGGCTCAGTGCCCAGTGCTAGCCAGACCCAGAGCACCCCTACGGTCCAGGCAGCAGCCCAGGCCCAGGTGACCCCACAGCCTCAGACCCCAGTCCAGCCCCCGTCTGTGGCCACCCCTCAGTCATCACAGCAGCAGCCAACGCCTGTGCACGCCCAGCCTCCTGGCACGCCGGTGAGCCCCACAGTCTCTCTTTGGGCTGAGACTCCTAATCGAGAACTTCTCCTTAAAAAAATCCTGTCACAGGGTTGCTTTAGTGTCTTGTGCAGTTCCAGAGAGTATCTGTCCCCTGGTCAAACCATATGACCTGTGTTTTGTTTCCGACATTGCCTCCGAAGGCCGTGTTTGTGTCTGGCAGGATGTGACTTAAAGATTATCTTCTCTAATTAAACGGATTTTCAGAAATCAGTTATAAAGAAATCACACGTGGGTCCCCTGTACATAGGAGCCATGTGTTCCCTATTATCTATCCTAAGTGGGTGTCTTCTGAGGCCTAATAGTTTTTCTCTTAACATCCCGAGGATGTGGCAAACCAAGTCGCGTTCCTAACTGTATGTGCTTTGACTTTGCCTGTCAGCCTTGTTTTCAGACCTGGAGCCTGTTCTTCTCAGGACAGAATGGCAGACCCAGGTTAGCGCTTCCTGTGGCTCATGTCTGCCCAGTCCTCCGTGGACCTGCTTGTTGGCAGGGCCCAGCTGTAGGCTGCCCACTCGCCACCCCGCACACCCCTGCCCACACCCCTGCCCCAGTTACCACTGAAATCATCACATCCGTTTTCATAACAGTCTGACTTAGAAACCACCCTTCCCCCGAAATACGTTAGCTTTATTCTTAGGGACTGAGGATGTTTATTTATAAAATATCAAAATAGATCTTAACAGTACCCCGAAGATAACATTACTTTATGTATTTCTCCACAGGGAGTGTGTTTATTATTTAATCCTTATTTTATATTTCTTATTTTTAAATAAGTTTCCATTGTAATTTTATATTCCCTTTGTTTACCTCAATTAGAACTCTATGAGGCAGGGGTGCCTGGGTGGCTCAGTCTGTTGAGCATCCGACTTTTGGTTTCGGCTTGTGTCATGATCTCAGGGTTGTGGGATCGACCCCCGTGTCTGGCTCTGAACTTGGAACAGAGTGTGCTTATCCTTTTCCCTCCCCCTTTTGCCCCCCACCCCCCACCCCCGACTCAACGAATCCACCGGGTACTCTGTCTCTCTCTAAAATGGGTAAATAAAATCTTAAAAACAAAACCAAAAACAACAGTGAGTGAGACTTTGAAAATTGAGAATTCTTGTGGTGGTTCCCTACTTTGATGTTTGCGCACTCTCCACCACCACCACCAGCACCGGCCCTGCGGTTGGAGCGGGCTGATGACACGTTCTCAGTCCCTGTAGGCACTACATCCCCCTTCCTACATGTGCACTTCAGGATCTGCAGTTTAGTCTTTTACGATAAACTTTAATGGCCTTATTAGAAGGAATTAATTTTAAAATAGGTTCTGTGACTTAGGTAGAAACTTCCAGAAAATAATCTTATATCAGAAAATGGGAAGCCCGGCTCTTCCCCCTCTGCATTCTTGGTCGGCAGGTCTTTGTGTTTCTGTGCGATGTTGACCTCCTCTGGGGCCCTGTTTGAAATCCTGTTCTTAGCTACCTCAGAGACGGGTGTCTGTTAGGGTGGTGTTGAGCAGTGTCACCCTGAAACTGTGTTGGGTGCCCTGTGGGGTTCGGCAGCATTTCTGTCGTCTTGTTAATAGAAGTAAATAATTCTGGTTTCTCACAGCTTTCCCAGGCCGCAGCCAGCATCGATAACCGGGTCCCCACTCCTTCCTCGGTGGCCAGTGCGGAAACCAGCTCCCAGCAGCCAGGACCCGATGTACCAATGCTGGAAGTGAAGGCAGAGGTCAAGACCGAGGACACTGAGCCTGACGCCAGTGAATCCAAGGGGGAGCCGGGCTCTGCGGTAGGTGCCGTCCCAGGGCGTGAGCAGGTGCGCAGCCTGCGCAGGGGTCGCCTGAAGTGTCCTAAGGGGAGAGACCACGGCTTCTCCGTGGGTGACGCTGCTTTGTGCTTTAATATCCATTTGATGGTGGGTTCAGAGAGGATATAGGGTGAGGATAGAGTGGTTATTTTTAGGTATTAGGTATGGGTTTTCCTTTATTTTGCCAGAAATAAGAGTACTTGTTTATATTTTAAATGAATCATCCAGAAACTTTTCACTGCCGTTCTTCGTTCCTAAGTCATTGTGCAGTTAGACCGCACAACCGCACAGGGGTGTGCTCGTTCACTGATGAACCTGTGGCAAGAGTTGAAACCTGGATGCGGCCCCACAGACATGTGGTGTTTGGCCCACACAATATTTTTAAAAACGAGGAATTACAAATGAAACTCTGAATTTCTGGCTTTTCTTTGAAAATGAGAAGCTCCGTAAGCACTCTGCTTGCGCTCCTGTGGCAGCATTCTGGGGGGACCTCTGGCCGGGGCCGGGGCGCTCCAGTTTGCCCGAGTCCCCGCTCCTCCTTGCTGCCTCACACACCTCCTTTACCTTGTTTACTTCAGCTGCCTGTCCCTCTGAGCAATTCGGTCTTTCCCTGATTTTCAGGAAGGTTCTTGTTTGAAACTTTGCATACCTATACGTGAAACTACTGAGCAGGTGGTGAGGTGTACATGTGCAGGGCCTTCAAGCACTGTAGCAGGTGCGATCTGTAGATCAGGACTCTGACTGCAGTGGCTCTGTGTTCAGGCAAGTCAGCCGGCCCCAGATGCCTTGTTCCTCCCTCGGGGAGAGGAAGGGGTGGACGGTGTGACGAGCCCAACAGGTTATAGGGAGACCTCCAACAAGGCTGAGTTAAGAGTAGAGGTCTTTGATGGTCATACATTGATGTCTATAATTCTGTTTTTCTCAAGATGATGGAGGAGGATCTACAAGGATCTTCTCAAGTTAAAGAAGAAACAGACACAACGGAACAGAAATCAGAACCCATGGAAGTGGACGAGAAGAAACCGGAAGTCAAAGTAGAAGCTAAAGAGGAAGAAGAGAACAACGCTAATGGGGCTGCCTCTCAGTCAACGTCTCCTTCACAGCCACGCAAAAAAAGTAGGTCGTCTTCCCTTAAACTTTTCAGCTGTGCTGCTTTTCCGTCGTGTCGTGATCTCACACTGCGGGCTAAATGCTAAAGCTTTTATCTTTCCTGCCTGCCATTCCCCAAGTTTTACCTCTTCGGAAATGATGGCAGTGAGCTAGACTCCGGCCCAAGGGCTCGCAGGGTTGACGGCGGGAATGAGAAATGAGCCACGGCTCTGAGGGGCAGCCCAGGAGCACGTCTCTCCTCTGCGCTGTCGTTGGCTGTGGGGCCAGAGTAGAGGTTGCACCTGAGTCCTTGTTCTCCTGAGGAGCTTGGGCTTTCTGTGCTCGCCACGCCTGCACGGTGTTAGAGATGGAGCCTGTGTGCCGCGGGGAGTGGCCGGGTGGTAGGCCCCAGCGGCCTCGTGTGGGGGGGTGGGCCACAGGTAAGTGAAGGGGCTCCCTTGCAGGGGGGGTTTGGAGGGGAACCCATTAGAGGTCCAACGTAAGGAGGTCGACCAGGTGTCAGAACATCGTTAGGTGACCCTTGCAAATCGGGGATGTAGCTCAGGATGTTAAGGGCTGCTTGTGGCACATTTGGGAAAGCCAGCAGAGAACTGTGAGTGGCTAATACTGTATAGTTTTGCCACTGGGAGGGAAGACCTACAGAAGCTTTCAAGTTTTTGGTCTCAGACCTGTTTATGCTCCTAAAAATTGAGGACCTCAAGAGTTTTTGTTCGTGTGGATTATCTGTTGCTATTGACTGTAGTAGAAATTTTTAGGAGAGTCATTTAATCTGTTACATGGCATCCATGAACCACACATTTTTATGAAAAGTGAGTTCCCCACAACAAACATACTTAGAGTAGTGACGGGTTTTTGTTTTTGTTTTTACAATTTTACATCTTGGAGATTACGGCAAATGTGGCTGAATTCTCCTGCTGCCCCTGCTGTCTCTCTGGTGCCCCGTTGTTTGGTTCATGTCCCTGAAGACAACCCTGCCCCGGCAGATAGGTGGCTGATAAAAGAAAGAGTAAGAGCCTTTTCAGATAATTGTAAGTGTTCTTTTTTAATACTACACCCAAACTCAACAAGTGCAAGCTTCCTGAAGGTTAGTTTCAGTATGAAGTCTGGATGCGTAGCTCTGAGTTTTTCATGCCCGGTGACGTGAGAGCCCATTTGTCTGTTTTGTGCTGTGAATGAGTCTTTTGCCCTTGGGTGATTTTTTTTTTTTTCTTTAAATAACATAATCCTTCGGTCATCTTGGAGTTTGGCTCTTGAGTTACACAAATTTTCCAGATGTCACCACACTTCACTGTACAATATTTTTAAAAACCACACTGATTAATATCACTGTGAATCTCCTCAAAAAAGTCTTGGAAATTTGGGGAAGCACTCAAATTCATGTAACAGATACAAGTTCTCCAAATTCAAATTTTAATAGAAGTCCAAACTTTATCACTGGCAACAAATACTGTCACTTGTCCTTGGTGTAACTGGCCCCATGTGTTCCTTCTTGGGAAAATGTCTGCCATGTGCCCGGATCTGAAGAACCGCAGCTGGTCTGACCGTCCTTCCCAGTCTCACGTGCTCCGTGCAGGAAGGCAGCCGTGTCCGCTCACTGTGCATGCTCGAGCGCTTCCTTGCAGGACCGCCAGCGCGCGCAGCCGGGCTGCCCGGTGGCAGCTTCCCGTGTGATCGCGCGATATCCAGACACATAGCCAGGGCTTGAGAGCACGGTGACAGCTGAGGCGGCCTTGGTGCCGCTGCCCATGTTGTGCTGCGGCGCAAGTGACTCTCTTCGTGGTTCCTTTGGCCCATTGGTGCCAACGTCATCCCCATGCACCAGGTGAATGATGGCCTAGTGTTATCATGAAAGTCGTTTTATGTTATGGAAGTAAACTTGATTGATGGCACAGACCCAAGAAAGAGCCTGGAGCAGTGCTAGGACTTGGTGTGAGGACAGGAATGTCCCGTGTCTGTGCTCTCTGTGGTTGTCCCCAGCCGTGTGTAGCTCCTGAGCCCTTGAAATAGGGTGAGGGTGAGTGTGACTAAGGATGTGATTTTACATCAGGCCGGTGCCTAAAGACCGTTAGGAGCTGCTTTTTCCTCGGCATAGGTGTTTTCAGCAAACGTGTAGTGCATAACGAGCGACTGACCACGGTGAGCTGCGTGGGAGATGGCCGCTGGGAGAAGGGGGGCCTGCAGCAGGCTCGGCTTGCTCCCATCGGGCTCCGTGCGCCAGGAGGTCTCTAGGGCAGCTCCTCTGTTCGGCGGTGTGAAAGCAGACAGTCTGTGAGCAAAGGCGCATAACTGCCTCCTGACAAACCTTGATTTTTGGAGACTAACATGTGATTTCATGTATCATGAAATACTCTTTTTTTCCCAACCATGAAGCACCACAGAAACCAATCTTAGCTCACAAGCTGTGCAGAGGCAGGTGGCTGGTCGGCTTGAGCCAGTGGGTCCAAGTTTGCTGACCCTGACCTAAGAAGAAAGAAAAAGCTATTGATTAAAGAGGTACTTTCTCAGAAAGAGTTATTCAAAGAAAATGCTACTCCATTACTGTAGAAACAGAATAGAAGAAAAGTTGCTCGATGAAGGCAGGATGTGTATGTGTTCCGTGAGGCTCCCGTGGGGCCCATCTGCTCACCAGCCCCCAGTGGTCCCAGCTCCAAAGTGGGATGCAGGGAACACAAGGGCTGCGCGCTGACCTGCCTCTCGCCTTCAGAGGTTCCACACGTTTCCCCCGGCCAGTAAAGCTGCTTGGGTTTTGTATGAATGTGTCGTCTCGAATGTATTTGGCTGGCAGCCTGTGTTTATCCTTGCACTGGGGACAAAGAAGTGTAGTGGGAAATGGAGTGGCTGCGCGGTGGAGGGAATGATTCAAGAAGTTTTGGGGGAAATACTTGGTTTTGTTTCTCTGTTACTATGTCCATTTGTGAGGTTGTAATACAAAACCGTTTGTCCCAGGTGTCTGAGTTTACTTCGTCCAGGAATAGACAAATTTCACCAGAGGTAGAAAGGCCCCTTCCAGTGAAATGGCTTTGTTACCATCCGTTGGATCAAAGAAGCAGATTTGGGAATTAGCTTCATTTTCTGTTCCAGCGCGGTTGTTATGTCAGAAACCCATTACTGGAGAAGCAGACCTGTCCGTGCGGCATGTAGCCTGCTGACATAGAAGCAGTTTCCCAGCCCTACTGTTCCAGTGCTGTCAGAGGCCCTGGGTCGCAGCTTGAGAATCCCTAAGGCCTCTTCGGTGAATTGAGGACCCTTAGGAGCTGCACAGCCAGGGGGACAGTGGGATGGAGGTGATCGGGGCCTTCTGGAAGCTGCCCAGGCTTCAATCTGAAATGTGGTGGTCGAGGGGTCCGAGTGCCTCGTAAGCAGTGTCACTTCCCGATGTTTTCTGACCGTAGTCTTCAAGCCGGAGGAGTTACGCCAGGCTCTTATGCCAACGCTCGAAGCGCTGTATCGACAGGACCCGGAGTCCCTACCTTTCCGGCAGCCTGTAGACCCCCAGCTCCTAGGAATTCCGGTAAGTTAACACAGTGAAAAGAAAGCTTACCAGTGATCCTGAGAATATCCATGTTTTATCTCTGAAAATTGGGTTTTGAAGATTTTTCTCCTAGAAAAAAATGCTTCTCTGTCAAAGCAGTAATAAACCTTTGTCTCATTGGTTGGAACATGTGTTTCCCCACCTTTTTGTCAGCCCTTGGGGTCCGTGCCTGGGGTGGATGCCCGCTTGCCTTAGCACTTGGCCTCCATAGCCCCGCCGTCTATCTGAGGCTTCGTGTGAGCCTTTGTCTGAAAGGGGGGTTTGAAGAACCACCAGACACCAGTTAGAAAGCGCGTGGGCCTCATTCTGGGATCTCCGGGGCATCTGTTAAGGGCCATGGCGACCCCACAGGTTTCCGTTGAGCAGTGTCACTATTGTTGTTTCTGTTCTTGTGTTTATCTTGGAATTTCTTCTTGTTTGCCAGGACCAAGAGTAAATCTCTAGAAAAATATGTCTGATAAATATGCTTAGCATTTTAATTCAGTGGATTAAAATGCATATTTTTAAAATTGTATATTAAAAAACATCTTTTTAACTCATTCTTTTATTAAATAATATATTGATGCTATTTTGCCCTTAACTTTGCCTTTGAAATCATTTGGTCACACTTGATGATCCTAATTACAATAGATAATAAAAGCAGAGGAAGGTCAGAGACTGTTTTCTCTTCAGTTCCCATTTATTACTATTAAAAATGGAAGTTGTTCTGGGGCTGATTATTTCTGTTTTGCTTTTAAGGTAAAGCTGCCCCGTAAGGTGGCTTTGGTACTTAGGGCATCCCCTAGACTGAGACTGTTTTGTCTTAAAGGATTATTTTGACATTGTGAAGAATCCCATGGACCTTTCCACCATCAAGCGGAAGCTGGATACAGGGCAGTACCAAGAGCCCTGGCAGTACGTGGACGACGTCTGGCTTATGTTCAACAACGCCTGGCTCTATAACCGTAAGACGTCCCGGGTCTATAAATTCTGCAGTAAACTTGCAGAGGTCTTCGAGCAAGAGATTGACCCCGTCATGCAGTCCCTTGGATATTGCTGTGGACGCAAGGTACAGTTTAAACTTTTTCTGGAAAGTGAACTTCCCTGGTTAATTCAGCCAGAGAGGGTCTTATGGTGACATGATAGACTCAACATTTTAGCCATACCTGTGTGCTGGGAAGGGCCCAGATGGGGTCTAGGCTTTTGGAAAGACAGTTGATTGCCTGAGGCCGTGTAACGGATGATCGAAGCTAGAGGTGCTTACTGGGGGAGACCTTGGGTTATGCCTTTGGCTGCCCCTGCGTCCGGTTATCCACCTGTAATAAGTGTCTTTGGCAACTGATTCTGTCACATCGAATCCAGAAATGTCTCTGAATAGCTGTGAAGATTGTTAGAAAACTATACCGTGTACTAACAGATATTTTACCAGCTGAATCTGACTTCTCTGTAGTGAACTAGAACATGATGTGACAGTAGCTGGGATATATTTTTAGTATTTTCTCCTTTGTTTTTGCAGTATGAGTTTTCCCCACAGACTTTGTGCTGCTACGGGAAGCAGCTGTGCACAATTCCTCGTGACGCTGCCTACTACAGCTATCAGAATAGGTAAGCACCGAGCCAGTGTCCCAAGTTACAGGACACGAGGAACGTCCTAGGGCAAGGTGTGTTCATCTGATTGTAGCCTGGGTACATTATTTCTTTTCCGAAGTTCTAATGAAATGGGCCACAGTTTCAGGGCAGCTTAGTCACCCGGATAGGCCCACTGCCTCTTAACTTTAAAGCACGCTTTTACAGTTTAAAAATTTAAGCTCGAAACTGCTCACTGTACCCCTTGAATCAGGAGCGTTCATTCTTCAGCTGTGGTCCTTCCAAAAACGTAACCACATAAGAGTCTGGAGATGAGTCTAGTCAAGGTTGACTTACCTTTTTGAAGATCTTAGTAAAGTGGATACATTGTATTTACTACTTTATTTACATGTAAGTATGCGCCCAGATAACTTGGTCTGGACAGTGAGGAAAGGCTTGAATTAGTGGTAATTTATCTAAAAAAGTACTTAAAGCTTTAGACTTAGAGAATTTTTTTTAATTACTAGCACAACGCAGAATGAGCGTCCTTGTTGAGTTCCACGTGAACTCCCCTGTCACAGGATGGCCGTCTCGGGGTTTTATGAGTGGGAGGTGTCCTCGAGAAATCTTTGCCATTTTCTTGAAATGTAGAGATGCCGGAATCTCCTGTCTTAAGCAGAAGAGCACGAAAGTCATATTTTCTGTTGCTCATTTGCCATACAGAAACGACCCCCACAGTTAGGGGGCGGGGCGGGGCGGGGCGGTGTTGAAAATCAGGTTTACTTGTATCTGTTGCTCCAAGTGGCTCCACGTTGCCAGAGCGTGAGCGCGTCGGGCCTGGAGGCACAGGTGACGGGGTCAGTCTGGGCACATTCAGTTGCTTTGCCTCCTGTATGGGACCAAGGCCGCTTTGTGCCTCTGCTTCCTCTTTAGGTTCAGTGATCAAATGTCAGCATTAGGGTTTGATGTTTTTATAACTTGATCTTGTGTGCTTACAGTGATGACGTGCACATGTCCTCACTTTGAGGAAGTTAAGTAAAGGGCCTTTTTTGGTCCAGAGGTACGTTCGCAGGCCTAAATAATTTGGAGTTTTGAAATATTTGTCTTCTGATTACACTTTTAAAGTACTTGCATTTTTAAAAAAAAAATCTAATCATATTTATGACAGTTAGTAACTCCCATCAAAATCCTACTCAAAAAAACCAGAGAGAGGGAAAGAACCATTGACTTAAAAGTGTCTCAAGGAAAGATTTCCAAGCCCTGCCCAGCCCACTCGTCCTGGCCCCATGGCAGCGTGAGATGCCGGTGCTAGTTCTGGGGGTACAGGAATGTGGTCTCTGCCCTTGTGCCTGAAACTTAGTTCCTATCGTAGTGTCCCTTCTGTTGATGGGAGCGTTTAAAATAAAACCACAGTCCTTCATGATCGAGTCGCTCCCGTAGTGACCTGTGCTGTTCTGGGGGTTCTGGCCCCACCAGTGAGTTTTAGCCCCGTGTCGTCCCACACATCCCGTAACGTATCAAGTGTGACACCTTCCCTGACAACCTTAGTTGCCAGTGTCTGTGAAATACCAAACAGGAATTCGCTTTGGGAACTTTTATGGGCCGAGTAAAATAAAGTTCATAAACTTCAAGAGGACAGATTGTAATCCCGGTGTTTCAGGAGCGCTGCCGGACGCCCGGTGCGGTTTGGGTCTAGAGGGAAGAGCAGGCAGCAGGTTGTTTGCGGCCATTTCTTAACTTTTGGGGCCTTTTCACTGTCCCCAGGTCTGTTGAGACCCCGCCTTTGCTGATTAACACAGATTTTGGCCATTTTTAAGTGGAGAGCAGTTACTTTAAATAGAGCTGATAGGATCAGGCCACACGGCTACTCTCTGACAGAGGGTTATGCGTGGAGTGCAAACACAGGGTTGTTTTGAAAGCTCTGAAATGTCCACCTTTAGTTTTGCGTAGAATTTTATCTTTATTCAACAAAAGTAATATATTTTCCTTACAAGTAGAGACATAAACAAAGGAGTTCTTTTCTATTAACGGTACGTTTTTAAAGAGGAGGGATACTGCTCCTTAGCTGAATCTTATAAGGCGCGCTTCCCAGAATACCGTACTTGGCGAGATGAGCAGGTCGTGGTGCTAAGAAAGCAGTGGCCTCACTACGAGGATCATCCTAATGGCTTACATCTCTGTTCGAATCTATGACTGCTTGGGAACACCGGTGTTCTCAGGAGTACCTGTTTTGGCACTTACAGTCCTAAACTGTTTGGGCATTTCGAACAAGAGAAAGTCCTACAGACCATTTGAACAAGTGAAACTTAATACTAGCATATGAGTATATTTTCACTTGTTTCCATGCTTTGAAAATTTGAAAGTCACTCACGTTGGGAAAACTGCTTTGTAGATTTTCCAGATGCTATCTTTAGCTATCCCAGTTATTAGTATATAGTGACATGGTACTTAAAACAATCTGCATTTGAAAATTTACTCCATACATGAAGTTACCCTTAGAGACCAGCTGTGCAGTTACACTGTGTTAACTTCAGGCACCGGGCGCACGTCATCACCATCGGATTATGTGAAGTGCTTCTCCTTTGCAAGTCCGTATTCATCCGGTCGCTTCCTCCACACAAGGCTGATGTCAGCAAGGCTCTTAAGATTGGAAAGTGACTTTCTGAACCATTCTGTATCTTTATGGTGAATAAAGTTTGGACTAGGTAATCATGTGGGGGCAGGCTGGCATTCCTGTATGCCCCCCCACTGATCGCCAAGGCAGTTTCAGCAGACTTGACCAGTGGGTGGCTGTGCCCCTTCTCCAGACCGCCGCCACCTCTCAGGAGGGCGCTGCAGGGAGGCCTGGGGCTTCCCCACCCCCTCTCAGACCCCAGCAGTTTGGATTCTCCCATGTCTCTGCTTGATGTGGGACAAGCACTAGAGCGGCACTAGAGCGGCTTAGTTCTCTCCGTGCCTCCCACTTTCTGACCCTGAGGTTCTTTGCAGAAGAGAGCTAGTTACACCCGGAGAACGTGGGCTCCCACAGCTGCGAGGCCTGCCCTCGAGCCATCAGTGTTCCGTTCTGGGTCGGTTTCCGCCACTAGAAAATGGTGGGCTTATGATTCTTGTTTGCTGGATGTTCCTGGCCTTGATATCCTACTCAAATAAAAGCTGAGTTTGTCCAGGATTTTAAAGCCTTTTTGCCTCCCGTGAATTATCGTAGTGATTTCGTTTCCAGGCGAGTTTCAGCTTTTCGCTCACCTGCAGTGGCTGTACGTTTGGTCATAAAATGAATTGGAACATTTAAGTCCAAGTTTCATTTTCATAAGGGAGACACTCGGTGTTGAGGGGGATGTCTCTTGTGCATATTGCCGTGGTCACCCCTGATTTGGTTTATGGTTTCTGTATTTTTAATTCTTTCGTGCCAGTGATGGTCATGCCCTCCTGCACCTGGAAATTCTTTTTACTACATAATTTCAAGGCTACACATGAATATTTACAAAATAGCAAATAGCCCGTTGATTCAGAAGAAGAATGTCTAGATACAGATATTTTTAAATAGCAGGATTTATCTGTTCCTGGTCAGAGTTTTTAATCTTGGCAGAATTCATTGATTGAATCATCCCCAATAACCTGGTCCCAGAAGAAACTTTCATTAACCCAGTTGCTACCCACAGTGAATCTGTTGTGTTCCTCGTCCACGAGCTAAAAGATCAGATCATTTTGAGATGGGTGCATGCTCTAAACTTTCGTGCTTTCAACGTACTCTGTGTGTTTAGTCAGAGAAGTACAGCAGACAAATGCTCAGTGTGTTTAACTCAGACTAGAATTAGACCTTGAGGGGGACTATCTGAGCAGTAACGGAGACAGACGGCCGCGCAGGCCTGAGCCTCTGTCCTTTGCAGCCGTGTGTGCGCGTGCGTGAGTGAGCCTGCGAGCTGCCGCGTGCCCTGCGGGTGTCCGTGAGGCGTGGCGCTCCGAGTCTCGTCCCAGTGTCTAACACTAATCCTTGTGGCATCTGTAGACTTAGTTTTGAGCACTAAAACCGCATTTGATTGTGCTGCTGCCACTACCTTACACTCCTCTCCGCTCGTATAATTCACCTCCATTCGGCTTGTTTTTGCAGCATTCCTGTGTGCCCGTCTTGTTTTATGCGGCATCAGCCTGCGTTTTTGTTGATTTCTCATGCGTGTCCTTTCCAAACATTTAATAGTTTTTAATTGTTCATATTTGATACTTTGAGCCCAGGCTCCATGTTATCTTTCCAGAAATTGGGGTGATGGATAATTTCTCAAATGCAGATTGTGCTTTAAAGATCAACTCTCTAAATTTGCTTAACTTGGATTGTCACCAAGTCAGAGCAGCTAATCACTAAGGATCTCAGATTGGTGAACGATTGGTCCCATTACCAAAAAGTTTAAACCAAAGCTTAGAATTGAATTTTAAAAGTCTTTAAGATTGTTCGTGGATTTACATATATTGTATTATTCATACAATATATCTCAGCTTTTTTTCCTGTACATTCGTACTGATAAATGGCTGGAAAGTCTTTGACCCCGACTGCATTTCTGTTAAATGTTTGTCTAGAATATGGATTTGGTTTCATTTGTATTATAACCCAATTAACTAAGTGATTAACATGAAAAAATAACAAGAAAAAATTAAAACCCGTTCTGTGTGCTCAACATTTTTAGTACCTTAAAGATCTGGCTTACTACCGCAAATAAAATCTGTGAATTGCTGTCAAGCATAAATTTGCTGTTTTGAAAAATAATTGCTTTTTTAAGGCCTTTGTCAGATATTTTGTTCAAAAGTGAATTTTTTTCCATCGCAAACCCTGGAGTTATATTTGATTTTCTCTAAGTAATAACAAAAATCGAACTCCTAAATTGAGGCTCCTTGGAATTCTAGTATTAACAACTCCTTGAAAACGTTTGCATCTCGGAGCTGGCCCGAGCCCAGCCGTTGTTAGCGATGATGGCCTGTGATGTGTGCAGTGAGACCGAATGCTAATCAAGCTTTGCCTTGGCTTTCTGCTCTGTGTTGTCTCGGTGTTTGCGTCTTACCTCTCTGTCTGTGCTATCTGTTCCCTTCCCTGTTCTCTAATCCTGCCCTTCCCCACCTGCCCCTGTTCCTTCCATTGTCCTCACTGACCCATCAATCAACCAACAACGCCCCCCCTTCGTCGTGGTGATCTGCCCTGCTCTGATTGGTGGCTTCGTTGCTTGGGTGGCTGTGTGTTATGATGGACCAGTTCACCCAAGTATGGCCTTCTTGCTGACAGGTATCATTTCTGTGAGAAGTGTTTCACAGAGATCCAGGGGGAGAATGTTACCCTGGGTGACGACCCTTCACAGCCCCAGACGTAAGTACCATCCTGTCATTTTTCTCGGGGTTGACTCGTAATTGTTTTTTCCCTCCTGCCCATGATTAAAAGGGAAGCACCTCTGCTGTTCTGACTTGTGCGTGGTGCATTTTCTCGAACTCGCTATGCCCACATGCACACATTGGAAGGTAGCTGTTTAGCTCAACACCAGGGCCACCTCCATATTCTCCCTCCTTCCGAGACCATGATGCTGGAGCCCCCACCACGGTTCTCTGGTCTCTCTCGACCTTGCTCCATGTCTGCCTATGAAACACTTGCCTTTTCCTAGCGGTGGTCCTTCTCCGTTGGGGGAAGTTACAGATTTTCAGTTACACCTCAGAAAGCAGATCTCCCTTTTGACAGAACTGGCAAGAGCGAGAAACGAATCTTGTGTGCATACCCCATCTGCAGCCTTCATTCCATCTTCCACTGAAGCCTCCGTCCCGTCCGCCGCAGAGCCTGTCCTAGAACACAGACAGCGAGGCCCGGGTGTGGAAACATGGCTCCTCCCTTGCTGGAGCGGTGGCTCTTGCTCACTGGCTCCGGCCTGCCCAGGCTTGAGTTGGTTCATTCATTCCTTCACTGAGTTCACCTTTGAGTGGGCACATGGTCAGACTGTGGCCAGAAAGAGCACGTCCACCGGTTGAACGGTCAGGTCCTTTATTTGCTTGAGACACCAAAGACCTGCCAGCCACCATGTCTGCCTAGGACTGCCGGCGTTTTGTGGTTGTCTCTTTTCTCCTGGCTCTGCCGTGATCTCTGGCCTGCTGGGAAGTCTGCTGCTGGGACTGTCCCTACAGGCAGGAGGGCCCTCCCACCGGAGCAGCTTCCAGCAGTCTCAGACATGGCCTCTGGCCTTCACGTTTACTTGCCCCAAAAGCAGAGCGAACCGTAGCCACTCAGGAGGCACATAAACTGAAATGCCTGAAATTCTACGTACTTAATTTATTTTTATATCCCTTGTAATCTTAGTTATTTGGTCCAATTATGTGATTGATCATTGGATTATACAGTTCTGTGAATCAGAAATAATTTCTGTGTACACTGATCATAACAAGAGGACAGTTTAGAAACTAGGTCCTTGGTCCTCTAAGAATAGATAAAATACTCCCTAGTAGATGCTGATCTTGTGTCATCTGATTCGTTACAATTAGAATTGATTACACCAATTGTCCATCAGATCCAGGAACCATTCACCATACAGATTTGATTGAAAATATATTGGTTTGGATCTCAGAATACATGCTGGTGGTAGTTGGAAGGAAATATCCCAAGGCAGATAGAGAAAAACAGATGGTGGTGCTTTCTGTGGAGAGAGATTGTGTGCGTTCATGCTGTCATTATTCTACTTGAGATATCAGCTGACCATTATTTACGTTTTATTTGAAAAACTAGTTACAAAATAATACCCCACGGACCATGTATTTTAGACTCAACAGATAAATTTTAGTTGATTCACGTTTCTCTTTTTCCTTTTCTTTTAAACAAGGACAATTTCAAAGGATCAGTTTGAAAAGAAGAAAAATGATACCTTAGATCCTGAACCGTGAGTAGACCGTGATTTCTTTTTGACTTTAGGATTTTAATTTCTGGTCAGGAAACTCCCTCCTTGTGACTGGGCTGCGGGAGAAGGTGCTGTTGGAACACTGGAAATATGTTGCCCTGGGTGGGATTTTTTTTATGACATAAGTAATATTTCCGATACGGATTCTTTTTTGACTCAAACCAAACATGTATGTCCCTGTAGTGTGTTCTCCAGCTACTGAATTTAAACCTTGGTAAGACGAGGTGGAGGTTTTGGTTGTGTCAGAACCTCTCTGGGAAGTTGGTCACCATTGTTACTGAAGCCGTTTAGTGTTCAGTGTGACTCTTCAGAGACTAAAAGTAGGAAGATTAGGTGGAGTAGCTCATCTCACTTAAAGGGAAATTTCAGAAAGAAAACCTCTTAGGAGCGACTCTCGAAAGATCAGGAACGGGCATCGGTGAGGGCGCCTCATTTGCCAGGTTTACTTTACGATCGTCTCTCACGAGGCTGCAGAGCTGTCTCCATAGCTGTCTCCATACGGCGGTCCCTCCAGGTCTCCAAAGCCAAACCCTGAGAGCACCCAGTGTGCATCAGTGCCCATCTGTGTTCTGGGGGAGTGAGCACAGGCTCCAGCGCCACTGGAAGCGTGAGTGCCGAGAAACAGGTCGTCCTTCCCTCTGTCCCCGACACCCAGCTCTGGGAAGACAGGCTGCGGGAGTGGAGGGCCAGGGCCTCATTTTGAAACTGAGCTTTCCTCCTGGGAGCTCACTTAGGGTTTCCCAGCAGCAGTGCCCCGTGATAGGGAGGACACACTCCCTGCGGGGGCTCCAGGCTCCACCCGGATCGTTCATGACCAGTGGATGGTCTCTGCTCGTTGTCCTGTGTCCCAGTTCACGTAATGTCCCCCTGCGTAGCTTTACAGTTTGACTTCAGTTTCAGAATCAGTACCTTAAAATACTAGGTGCTGACAGTATGAAGTACACAGATGAGATCACAGCACACACAGATGCTCCAGAGACGGAGGGCCCTGGCCTGTGCTGAGTGGCATCCTGTGGAAGGGGACACTCGTCTGGCAGCAGGTTGGGGAGGGGAGGGCAGAGCATTCTCAGCACAAAAAAATGAACGAACGCAGGATGTTCGATGACACTGCAGGTCAGCTCGAGGGCTTGGTGGGTCGGGAGCATGGGTGGAGCCCCAAGGGGCGAGCAAGCAGGGGCCCTGGGTGAAGGGCCACTTACAGTGTTCGTCGAACCGTACATTTCTTCCTGAATGTGCTGGGGAGGCTTTGAGGGACTTTGTTGGTTTCCCTTAGGTAAAGATCATCCTGGATCTGTGAGGTGGGTTTACCAGGCGAGGAAATGACTTTGATTTCTAGTTGGGAAAGTAGTTAGGAGACTCAGAGCAACAACTCGGGCAGGAAGTAGGAAGTGGAAGCTTGACCTAAATAGAGAAGGGCCTCCTGGTACAAGAAGCTGCACCATGGGATGAGGAAAGGGCCAGTGTAGGTGACCTGCTGAGATGCTGCTCCTGGGACGGGAAACGCAGGCGTGGCAGCCAGCCACTTGGTTGGTATTAGTCGGGGGTGGTGAAATTCAAAATTGATAATGTTGGGTCTAGAACTTTTTTTTTTTGATAGTTCTTTTCCCTGGCATAGGAGGAAAGAGTTGAGAGTCGCGTGTTCTCGGAAGGGGAGGGGGCACAGAAACGGAGGTGTTGCCTGCTGCCCCTTTGAGTTCTTAACGTGGAGCATGAGCTCCACCGCCGAGCTTTCCGAGAAGCAGCCGGTTAGGGGTGAGGCAGCAGCAGAGGGAGCAGCACGGTGTGGGGCGGAACAGCCCCTGTATGGGGCGGGGATGGGAAGGTGGCGACAGCACAGGATTGCCAGACAGAGCTAGCAGGATGGTGAATTTGGCAATGGTGCTGCTGGGGTGCACTGTTAGCACAGACGTGTCCTTTCTCTCTCCTGACCAAACGGGAGCAGAAGCCGCTGGGGGTTCTCGGGGGGCTGGGGTACTGTGGTTAGGCTGGATCTGTGGTTGAAGGCTTGCTCAGCAGAAACATTGGAAAGGTGGGGGCCCAGAACTCAGGGCAGTGCTGAGAGTCTGATAGGAGCCAGAACCCAGCAGAGTTGCGGGAAGTATGGTACTTTCTAGTCCCTGGAGCCTTACTCGAGGCATAAGTTGTGGTGGTGGTGAAGAGAGTGGCAGAAAAAATAGGTTTTGACATCCACACATGTTGGCAACTAAGATTCCCAAATGAGGTGACAAGGGCAGGTGAGGCAGGGTGGGAGCTGTGACAGAGCATGAGCAGCATGGGGGGCCCTGCTCTCCGGGACTTACGTGAGTAAAGGCCAGCATTGACCAGTCAGCTTGGCGCTTCCCACCTTCGTAGCTGACTCCGAGCAGATGCGTCCTGCGCCTTGGCTAAGAGCAGGTGTTTGTGACACCGGAAGCATTGTTCTGTTTCTTGAGGCACTTTGGGCATACGTGGTCACCTAGAGCAAGCATTGGTCTTGAAAAGGTGCTTCACGTCAGAAATACTGGCCTGTGAAATACGCCTCTGTCACACTGGTTTTTGAAAGTAAAGTTTCATTTCTGGCTGCAAGGGAGATGAGGAGAAGCGAGGGATGGGCGTTTGTGCAGAGAAATGGAGCAAGTCCACTTTCTCATAGAAAGATCGTACCGGAGCAACTTGCTCTTGGATTTGCGAGTTCAAGCCCCACATTGGGTGTATAGCTGACTCTAGAAGAAAAAATAAAGTAAAATGTGGCTGAATCAGGCTGCAGCAGCATTAAAGCCACAGATGACAGGGAGTGGTCCGGAGGGCGACGTGCGGACGCGGCGCAGGCCGCCCCCTCGCGTGCTCTGCTGTGTGCTGGAGCGCGCTCTCTTTGCCTTCCAGCTTTGTCGATTGCAAGGAGTGTGGCCGCAAGATGCACCAGATTTGTGTTCTGCACTATGACATCATTTGGCCTTCAGGGTGAGTCATTCCCTGGTGATTTCCTGTGATCCTGGGGAAGGGAAAGCCTCCCTGCCCAGCCTAGGGGCCGAGGGGTCCTGCCGGGACCAGCAAGGGCTCAGGGCAGAAGCCAGAAGCCGGGTGGCAGCCGGTTCTCAGTTTATTTACATCACAAATATCTGCCTGCTTTGGGGACTTTAGGCTCAAAACAGGCTGCCTCTTCACTTGTAAATAATGACGCCAGAAAAGCCAGAAAAGCACTTCGAGCTGCCTGTCACTGGTTCGGACTCTGATCACACCCTTCCTTTTTTTACAGCTTTGTGTGTGACAACTGTTTGAAGAAAACTGGCAGAACTCGGAAAGAAAACAAGTTCAGTGCTAAGAGTAAGTTGCGGGAGGGCTCCTGTCTCCATGTCTGCCTGTGAGGGGCTTGTCCCCCTTCCCCGTCTTTCTGCGGCTCCCCTCTGTGGGCGGCTCTTGGGCTCCCTTGTCTGAGGCTCTGTACTGGAGTTCGTTTTCCACACTTCGTACTTGTCTGCTCTTACCCTCCATGGAGTCCCTGGGCGTGATCTTTACATGAAAACTAGCTTTATGGTCACTTCATGTTTTAAATGAAAGTTCAGAAAGCTCAGATAAAACATTTAACTTTAAATGTGGAGAGAGAAAATTTGTCAGCAGGTCCTTTTCAAGTAGCTCAGAAAAAAGACCCCTCCCCCCCCCACACACACACACGTCCTGTCGTGACCAGCATGCTCAGCCCAGTGTGCACGAGGATTTGCGTGCGTGGCTGCCGGTGTCCCCGCACAGCAGAGAGCACCCTCGTGCTACTCCGGGGAACTCTTCCAGGGTAGTCTTGATGCTTTCAGAGATAGCATTCTTTTCAGAAGTGTACAATATGAGATCGTCATTGACTGGTTCTCGAGGGCTAGGGGCCACCTTCCACAGTGTGACGTCCCTGAGCTGTCTTCTGCTAAGCTCGCAGTGACCCCGAGTAAGATCGCCGCCTGCCGTGGAGCCTTTACAGCTCGCTTGCCCGGCGCTCCCTGCAGCTGTCGCCCTCCCCAGCGGGGAGTCCGGCGAGACGGGCTTGGAGAGAGATCCCACACCAGGGGGAGGAGAAGAGAGGGAGCAAGCAAGGAGGAAGCCACTCTGTGGGCTTCCAGGTCGTTGCTAATTTAGGGACAGATTGTCGTTACCAAAATCCACAGTTATCCTATAACCTAATCTCACTCTTGTAACATTTTTTGAAATACCGATGAACTCACAGACCCTTACAATACTTCTCTTCAGAGCAGGGTTTCTCAGCTGAGCCACCATTGACATTCAGGGGCAGATAATTCTTTGTTTGGGGTCTGTCCTACACTTTGTCGGATATTAAGAGCATCTTTGGCTGCTACCCACTAAATGCCAGTGACATGACCCCTACTCCCATGAGCATTGACCTTCAGAATGTCACACGATGTCTCCAGACATTGCCAGATGTCCCCTGGGGGGCGGAGTGTGCTCCCACTGAGAGCCCCTGCTTTAGAGAGTCCATTCGGAGTGAGATCACTAAAGCAGTCACCACGCTAGAAACACTTTTCTGGGCCAGAGCCTCGTGCCTAGAACACAGTAGCCAGCAGAGCCAGGCCTGGGTCGGACAGCAGTTGCAGCTGGTAGCGGACGGGGGCAGAAGAACCCAAGAGTAGGTCTGCGACGGGAGCCCTGGGGTTGAAGATGGACGGCACTCACAGACAGAAGAGAACCTTGGACGTCCGACCACCCAGCGACGTTCGTTGTGGATGTGTGGGCACAGCCTTTGCAAGAGTCTGTAGGCCACAAAGGACGGGCTGCCTCGTTCGCTTCTGCACCAGTGCCGTGCTGCTGGCCAGGGGGTGAAGGACGGTCGACAACGGACCATCTCCCCTCCCAGCCTCCACCCTCCTCTGCCTGACGCCCTGCGCAGCCCATCCGCGTGGAGGGAGAAGGGGAACCACTAGCTATGCTTCTGCATGCGAGTCCCTGTGTCGCGGTGTGAGAAGCCTCCCTGGAGATGGGGCAGCCCCGGTGTTGGCAAGCAGAAAGCCGAAGGATGTGATTACGTAAAGGAACAGAAAAGGCCCTGTCACGTGCTGTGGGTGAAAGCGCACGAGGAAAGCCTGGGGAGGAAGGAGGACTGCGATCCAGCGTTCGCTGTCTGACTCCGTGATTACGCTTGCACGCGCGCGTCCCACAAATCTGTTTGTGCGTGTGAGGCGTGTGCGAGGACAGCCCTTTCAGTGTGAGGAGCAGCCGCGGATGGGAGAGCGAGCGGCTGGCCCTCGGGAAAATTGGAAAGCATGGCAGAACGAGGCAGAGCTGTGTGTGTCACACACCAGGGGCACGATGCCCCCTAAATCATTGTGCGAGGACGCCTCTGCACTGGCATCTCCTTTGCCAGAGGAGCCACCGCACCCCTTCCGTTCGCACCTCTAAGCATCTGCGCTTCTCGGGGCCCCAGAAGGCACCTCTCTAGCCCTCAGCACCGTCACAGCACTCAATTTGGTGCCGATAAGATTGTCATACATGGTCTCATGTACAGCTGCCCTTTTTTTTTTTTTTTTTAAGTGCAGGTAATTCAAGTTATTTGAAGAAAAAAGTAAAGACCTAACTTTTTTTTTTTTAATTTTATTTATTTATTTGACAGAGATCACAAGTAGGCAGAGAGGCAGGCAGAGAGAGAGAGAGGAGGAAGCAGGCTCCCCGTGGAGCAGAGAGCCTGATGTGGGGCTCGATTCCAGGACCCTGGGATCATGACCTGAGCCGAAGGCAGAGGCTTCAACCCACTGAGCCACCCAGGCGCCCCTAAAGACCTAATTTTAAAGGTTTATTTTTCCATTTGCTACTTGGAAATCACTGTGTATAGGGTTCTGTGTTGACATGGGAAGGAGAGTTCCTGGACCACGGCAGGGTGGCCCTTCTTAGCTGGGTCCAGCCTTTCTGGATCAGAAAACACATCATGAGGGGAGCCAGACTCACTCAGCAGTGGCATGAGGGGGACCCGTGGGGGTGAGAACGTGAGGGTCTCCTCCATGGCCTGCTGCTTGGGTAGATGGGATGGCCCATGGGCCCCTTCTGCACCTGACTGTTTCCCAGGGTGGCCGTCATAGCCACAGCGCTCAGTGTAGCTTACACGGCTGTGTGGAGGGCACGCCTTCATCCAGGTGTGAAATCTGTCACAAATCCACTTTCTCCTCCATTTTACAGCTTTTCAAGTTTTTATTTTCCTGTGGGGTTTTTATTTTATCTTTGTGTAGTGTTTTCTTTTTAAAATCACTTGTGTGCAGGTATAACTTAATTCCTAAAAAAAACTCCACTATTGATAGGTTAATTACAGAAAAGTAGAAATTAGAAAGTCTAAATTTTCCAGGTAGTTCCTGGCCTCATTAAGGAATCTTAGGAAATCCCAAATAGCTTTTTAAAAATACTTCTTATCAACGTAGTAAATATTTAAAAGTCAATAAATATGAAGAAGAAAATATCTTTGAAATCCCGTATCTGTAAATAATCACTGTTAACCTTCTGTGGCTTTTCCTTCTAGCCTTTTTCCCTTTGTGCAAAGAGTTTTTTGCTGTGACCAGTGTTTTATCTGGGGATGGCTTGTTGGAAAAGTCCTGTCATGGTGGCCACACCTGGCGCATCCCCAGGAGAGGGAGGGTGTGGAGGGGGTTCAGGGCTGAACTGGGTTCTGATATGGTGTGAGCTGCTGCCTGGGAGGGGCTCGCAACGCTAGGGGCGGGGGCGGGTGGGGTTGGGGGGATCCTGTGAGCTGGATGGGAGGGCTAGAGCAGCCCTGCCCTCCAAGGAGAGCAGAGTTTCTCCAGGGTGCATTCTGGCTGCAGGCACAGCTGTGACACTGAGCAGCCACGTGGGGGCGCCCGGGCTAGATCAAGGCCTCTTCAGGGCCAAGGCATGGGAGGCAGGAGGTGGTCTCAGTGAGGCCTCTGTGTCTGCTCCTTCTACTTTACCCCATAGCCCTTTGTCTGCCTTCATGGCTTTTCTGCTCTTGAAGCTAAAAAAAAAAGGTGGAAATATGTAGGCATTTAAATGACCGCAGTCGTCACTGTGTGGAGCACCTGGAGATTGCAGAGTTCACCTTCCCTTCCATGCTTACCTTGTAGGACAAGCTAGGGCCCTTCTGGATTTTGAAAACACTAATCCTTAGAATATCAGACTGCACTAGGGGCGCCTGGGTGGCTCAGTTAGTTAAGCGGCTGCCTTCAGCTCAGGTCATGATCCCAGGGTTCTAGGATTAAGCCCCACATCGGGCTCCCTGCTCGGCAGGAAGTTGTCTTCTCCCTTTTTTCCCCCTGTGTGTGCTTGCTCTCTCTCTCTC